GTAAACTCAAACCCTAACCGTAACCCGAAAACCAAAGCCTAAAGGGCATAACCCTAAACGGAAAATCGGACACCATTAACCGGTACCCTAACCCTAAACTCAAACGTAAAACTGAAGCCAAATGGGTCAGATGTGATCATGTGGCCCCAAAAAAAGCCTTAGTCCCCCTTGGAACTATCTCCCTACAAAGTGCCTTTTTATGCATTAAAACATGCAGGCAGTGCAAACACGTTTTCCTTCTTGGCATACACATTTTCATTCCTGAAAGACCCGTAACAGGTACCCTTGTCCCATATCTCAGGTGGTACACATACCCCATGTCCGACCTGCGGATTACTGATGTACGAAACCACTGCACAACTGTTAACCACAGCAATAAGACGTTAGTATATTTTATATCCCATAGTAGGCGAGATTTTGGCTGAGCTGCTTTTATTGTAGGGTTGACCCGCAGCTTCGGACGGTTGAATAACAACGGGCAAGAAATAACTTCAAGATAAGCCGGTAGAGCCGTGTAAGACCATTATGAACACTTCCGATTTGATTTCCGTATTCAGCCATGCTACAACCCATGTCCCGGGGACATAAAACTTTAATCTAATTTCGAGTAGGTTGGAGTCCCGTGGGAGAGTTGGCGATGAGATGAAGTACAGCCAAGACGTCCCCTCCCAACCTCACCAGAATGTTTTCCCTCTAGGGGACCAAACAGGGCTAATTTTAGGCTACTTCTCTGCAGACCCAAAAAGCAAATGTCACGCTTACGAAAACGTTGTAAACACAAAAACCAAAACCAAGTTGGCAAAAATTGTAAGTTGCATCACCCATCAAACTTGTGAAAAGAAATCAAGATGATCAGTTTGGAGTACCTCTAACGTCCTGCATTTTACTTACTAGCGTAAAGCGTTCAAGAGAAAACCTTTTTTCTTGCAGGGCTTTTGAGTTATTTTACTGTGCAATTCTCTAGCTGCGAGCACTAATCTAAACAGGAAACGTTCCCCAAAGCAACATTTTCCCGACTTGAAAACTGCTCTTTAGTTCCGCGCAAATCAGGACAGAAGATGTGCAGTAAAACACGAAAAAATGCTGATTTGTGAGTCTATGTAATCTTACTTCGTAAAGTTTAGTAATAACGCATTCAGGCAATCTTTTAGCACGCATAGCAGTTTCCAGACGTTGCAAATATTCAGTAGGTAAACACGGAAAGATGTCTATTTCGCGTTTAGTTTTCATGCACATATGTGAGGATTTAAAGGCTTACTGGCAAAGTAAATATAAACTTAAGAAACGTTACGGACACAACTTCAGCCGACTAAGAAGTATTTTAGAAATTACATGGTCACTCTGCAGCCTGCGTATAGTCGCAGAATGTGACCAAAAAGTAAGCAAATAAGATGGAAGTTATTTTAACGAAAAGAAAAAATGGCAGTTTTGGCATCTGCGGCTGAGACGGACAAAATGTTCAAATGTCCCGAATGCATTTAATACAGAAGTTTCTTCTACTTAGCAAGAGCCCAGCTATAGCAGGCTTTCGTTGTAAAAGTCAATTTTCTTCAAAACTTGAGTTTCATGTCATGTGTGTATGTAAAAAGCATTAGATAAATGCTTACAGGAACTGCTTTACTGTGAAGCTTTTGGAGAGGAAACAAATGGCATAACCTATTAATTTGTGCAATCGATCGAGAACACCAGACGCCGGAAATTACCCACTAACGTTTAACAGGTACCAGTGATCGTTTTCGTCCGAATAAAGCCCTCAGTAATTCTACGGAAACATAATTCTCTTGATAAACAATCAGCGGCGTGTTTATACTTATACTTATATCTTCAAATTATATTTCAATTTCTCAGTTATCGATCCTCATATCGACATACAGCCTCGTGAAATCTTCCATCCCTATAACGGCATTATCCGAGAAATCAGGCGAAAATTTCGTCGCTGGTACCAACCGCATTTCCATAAATGCAAAATCGAAAAAAACATCACTTGCTCGTGACGCCATGTTGAGATACAAAATCAAGAACGAAACAGTTGACTGGCTTTCATGCTGCGTAGTATTTAAAAATATTAATTTCTAAGACTATCCTAAAAAGTGTTTGATTGTTATTTCGCTTATGCTGTTCTATTTACTCAGGTGTTTGCGTGTACAAGTTTTGTGTACTTCTAAAAATCGAGTTTTCACATTTCACGCGAATTTCCAGGCTTTTGGCATCCGCTTTCCTTAAAAAATGTTATTTCCGACCGATTTAAGATTACTTCCCACACTTATTTGGAGTTTGCATGCAGGTGAATGTCGTTCATTATTAATTGGGAATTTTGATCAGTATATTTAGGCCGGTACCCGATGGGTTCGTTATGTTCGGTGAATTTTCACATATTTCATGTGGTACGTCAGAACTATAAAACAAATTACTGTACCTAAAAGCGACAGTAGAAAAATGATTTAAAAAAGAAAGAAATTGGAATATAAAGCGAGGATGAAATAATACAGATGCAGTACCATAGGCAATAAAACCAAAGAGGACGGACGTGAACAGATGCGAAAACGCCGGAAAGTAAAATAAAACGATAAGAAACAAATGTAGATTGTGACAGCATTAAAAATGCCGCAATAAATCCAAAGGACGTTGCGGGTACATAGACGTCGTGCAGTCCGGGAAAGTTGAACAAGGTCATGTGAAATTTCGCCCACAGGAAATTAAGATTTTAGCGATTCCCCCCGGAACCTTCGCGCACTTTCAGGCAAACACGCGCACAAACTTGAAAACGGTGTTCGCAAAGAAGGCGATGCATGTGGATCATGCCATAAATAAATTCCCTGCACTTTTATCTGAGTTCAGGGAAGATGGACGATGGTTCCCGAACTTCAGAAAGTAGTTGGAGTGCATGAAACATCGGCCAGAGGGAGCATTTTTCAGGAAAATGTCATTTGGGCGCAATCTAGCACTTTTTACAGAATGTGTAATTTTTTACAGAAAAGGCTTTGGCCACACCACTCCACCATGGCTGGAAACATGAATTAACTTGGAGATTACGAAACAAAAGGAGTTAAAAACTAAGAATGTGATGTGATAAATTACAAATAAAAATTGCAGAAGCCACTGATCGCGTAGATTGAGGACTGCTTTCCACGAGTTGGGAAATCGATTTTTACAACAAAGAAAATTGTCGGCTAGGTCAACGGGCAGAACTTAGTTGTATTGCATGGATGCCATTTATGAGAATGCTGCTGATCCTTCTACCAAGCGGGATTGGAAAACCATTGTAGCACAAAAACGGTCTTTACAATAGTTGCACAAGTTATTCACCTCTGCCATCCTCCCCCTTTAGCAGAACCAAACCGCACGGATTCCCATTATCATTTTCCTCCAGATTTGCATATAACTATCTGCGCATTTAGTAAATTAGCACACACACACACACACACACATCTGGAGTTCGTATACCTGAACGTGCAGTATGATGCTAGGGGATGTGCTGAGGACTGGAACCTCAAACAACAGAGCCATGCAAATACAAGAACATAAGCGAGACCATAGGTTTAGGAACATTAGAAGAATATGGAACCAGTTCTGGAGATCGCCTCTCCGTCTTCCTCTTCTAACTAACTACCCGGAACGTGCGCATTTTCTGCCATTAGAAATATATATATACGGCAAAAGTGTTATACAGTACTTTCGACATAGGTACTATCTAAATGCCCATACACGTGTTTCGCCAAAATTCTGCCGCTGCATGACAAACCGTACTCCCAAAACATATATATATAGTGAGTGACCGAGCTCATGAAATGTCGGCCAAAATTCTGAAATGCGTTTCGACCAGGATAGATTACTTAGGAGGATTTCTAACACTGATTATCTTGCGACATAATCCTATAATATTTCAAACTCGGCAGGATGTCAACTTTTGAATGGACTTCTTTTCGATATGTAGAAACCGTACTTGGTGAAATATAACTACCTAAGTAACATGCATTATTCACATTGATTTGCGATGATTTTGTGAACTCAAATATATTCCATAAAAAAACATGGACAAAAATACGCCTTCTTTTAACCATTTGGGAAAGAATCACGTCATCCTCATATTTTATACTTGAAGGAGTATAATTAGGTCTTAAAAAAGCTTCTAATTATGAGATTTTCTAGGGCCGTGCAATGTTCATTCACATTGCATCGTACCTGTCCGGCAGCTGGGATCAGAAACACAAACCTGCGCACAAATATCCTAGCGCAGTTGGCCCACCACTGGAATCTACCAGATGGGTCATTAGCACTTCATCGAACTGAAGTTCATCAGTGCCTCGCCAGTTCTCATTCTCTGTTGCTGCAAATTGGGCAGTTGTTCACTCAGGAATGAGAGCATACTGATTCACTGGCTTTCCAAAGCGAACAAGCTTCGTTTGGGTGACAGAGGCTACGAACAGGCAACCACCTGTCAGGCCGAAGTCGGCCAAGCTGGGATAGCTATAATCGGCTGAACGAAAAAGAACAAGCCCGAAACAGTTTTGTATCAGTCTACTACCCCATACTCTGCTGTCCGCGTCCCAATTTATATATATATATATATATATATATATATATATATATTCCGAATGATAGAGAATACGCGCGGCCCAGGTAATTGCATAGAAGAAGACGGGAAGGCGATCGCTGGGACCAATGGTTTATTTATCCGACGTTTCGAACTCTCACGCGAGCCCATCGTCAAGGAATGAAAAAACTGTACAGCTCGTCGTGTATTTAGCTCACCTCTGCCGGGGGTGACCTCTAGCTGCGCTGTTGATTTGTTCACGGAGTGCTATGATAATGTTGTGCACAACCTATCTTCCAAACAACTGACAGCAGAGCAGATAAAAGTCCTGAGCCATGATGCCTGCTTCAATACGACGGATGCCCAACCTGTTGACTTCATCGCAGCTGCGGAATCTGTCATTCGTGAAGCTCCAATCACTGAGGAAAACAGAAATCTGCTACGACAGCGAATATCCTCCAGACTCATGTCCCACAAGAAACGCAATATGCTCTCGAAAGCAGAAAACGAAGCACTTCGGACTCTGAAGGCCGACAAAAGCATTGTCATACTCCCGGCCGATAAAGGACGATCGACGGTCGTACTAAACAAGGAGGACTACGTCAACAAAGTCGAGGCCCTTTTGGGCGATAGAACTGCCTACATTCCTTGTGAAGGGGATATGACGAAGACTCTAATGAGCAAAATCAACAAGGACCTGGCAAGTCTTCGGAAGTCAAAAGCGATTACACGGCTTGACTGGCAGAGGATGAAACCAAAGGATTCCGCGATCGCGAGGTTCTATGGTCTACCCAAGGTCCACAAACCAGGAACCCCCCTACGACCGATCGTTTCTCTAAGAGGCACACCAACGTTTGGCCTGGCTAAATGGCTGTTCCAGCGTCTGAAATTCCTAACCCAAGGTTCTGAAACTACCATCCACTCAGCAGAACGATTCCTTGAGAAACTGCAAGGTATTCAACTTACAGATGACGAAGTGATGGTATCTTTCGACGTGGTATCACTCTTCACTTCCATCCCACAACATCTCGCGGTTGAAACTGTGCAAAAATTGTTAGAGCAACGTTATAACGAGACGGACAACAAGCTTAAGATAAAACACCTTGTCGATCTCCTGAAACACTGCTTGAAGACCTTCTTCACCTTCAATGGAGCCGCGTACGAACAAGTTAAAGCACACCGATGGGGTCGCCGTTATCCAGCTTGATTGCTGAGGCAGTGTTACAGCGACTGGAGGCACTGGCTTTTGACCACTACCGACCACGATTTTGGGTACGGTATGTTGATGACACATTTGTCATCATCAATCGGGACAGGATTGGGGAATTCACGCAACATCTGAACTCGATCTTCCCAGATATCCAGTTCACGATGGAGGAGGAAAAAGATTGCCAGTTGCCGTTCCTCGACGTGCTAGTCCAGAGAAAAGGCGATGGGGGACTAAAAACAACAGTTTACCGAAAGGCGACAAATACCTCTCGTATTCTGAGTTTTCTCAGCAACCACCCCCTTTCGCACAAACGCAGCTGCGTAAGAACACTCTACCGGCGGGTAGAAACCCATTGCACAGAGCCAGCCGACAAGAAGGCCGAGGCTCAGTTCCTGAAGAAACTCTTCACCATGAACGGCTACCCTGGGAATTTCGTCGAAAAGTGCAGGCGAGAAGCACAGGGAAGAAAATCGAAGGGGCAGCCGAAACCGAAGTGCTGGCGCGCAGTTCCGTACGTAGCTGGTTTGTCAGAAGAATTCGCCAGACTGGTGAGCGAATTTGGGATCGGCGTCGCGCACAGACCTGAAGCCACAATCCGCCGTCAACTCATGCAGCCCAAGGATCCGATTCCCATTAATCAGAAATCGGGGGTCATCTACCGCATAGACTGCAATTGCGGTCAGGCCAGTTATGCTGGTGAAACCGGAAAACAGGTCCGCACGAGATTGCATGAGCATGAATTGGCCGTGAGACGGAAGGATAAACTCTCTTTGGTAGCCGCCCACGCCTCCTCGCCAGGACACGCCTTTGACTTTGGGAGCGTGAGAATACTAGGACAGTCAGACAACCGAGTTGCGCGCCTGCTGCAGGAAGCGTGGCACTCAACTGAGGACGCGATTAATCGACATATCGATCTGCCAATCGCCTATCAAGCACTCCGTGAACAAATCAACAGCGCAGCTAGAGGTCACCCCCGGCAGAGGTGAGCTAAATACACGACGAGCTGTACAGTTTTTTCATTCCTTGACGATGGGCTCGCGTGAGAGTTCGAAACGTCGGATAAATAAACCATTGGTCCCAGCGATCGCCTTCCCGTCTTCTTCTATATATACATATATATATATAATATGTAAACGGCTTACTAAAAGGGCAACAGGCCAGACGCCAACACCTGTTTCGTGGTCATTACCGTGTCTGCATCTGGCCTGTTGCACTCTCAGTGAGCTGCGTGTGTATTATATGTTGCATATGTCCTACGGCACAGCGTTCCTCAATAGGAAACTTACTAGAGAACGTTTTTTATTTACTTATAAGTACAGTGCTTACCAGCCCTCATTGTGGAAGGATATTTAAGCTTGCGATAATATCTTATTTTAGACAACCCTACGAAGTCGAGGCAGATTATCGCATGTGGAAAGAACTTTCCAAAAGAGCATACTGCACCGGCGGCAACCTTCAAGAACAAACGGCGGTTAATGGTTTGGATGGCTATAAAATTCGGAGAGAGTACAGTCTGGCGATCAACTACGGCCACCATCAACAGCACGGTGTTCGTCAACCTTTTGGAGGATGTCCTTGGTTGTAACGACATCCAGCGACACCGATTGGGTATCATAATTTTACCCAATAAAGGCTCTGGCCATCGCTCTAAAGAGGTACGAATCTGATAACGTTTTCAACCGTAGGCTGAGTTTTTATATAACGGCCAGTCTCTGCGCATGTGGCTTCAAGTCGATTTTTATCTCCCCAACAGCCCGGATCTCAATTCTATTGAAAATCTTTTCTCATTTACCAGAAGAAATTGGCACAAGGCAAAGCAGGAACTTTCAATGTAAGAAACGTCTAACTTTGTGCTAGATAATTACACTGAACAATCCACTACAGACAGCTTAGCCATCTCTATGTCCGAGAGACTTTCTACTATGATAAATACAAAAGGACAACCAACAAAGTACTGATCTTTTGTATTTGCTATTATGTTTGATAAGATGCGGTTATGTAGCCGCACCTGATGGCCACAATACTCTTGACCTACTTAATTATTTTAAGTTGGTGTGATTACGTTGGCATGGCGTTGCTGTGCGTTGCGGTGTGTGTTCTGTTGGCGGCCTTGTTTCCTTGTTGGCGTGTCTATCTTTTTCGGCCCAATGGTCGTGGTCTTTCTTGACTTTCGGCCTGTCGTCTCCTTCTAACTTTTGCATTGGATGATGCAGGGGTAAGGTTTAGGGCTGCGGTTAAGGGTTGGGGTTATGATTAAATGGTTTAGGGTAACTTTCTCAACCATTCAAAGCACAACCGCGCATTCCCAATAGTTTTCCTTTTGCATGCAATTACTGGACCTTGTCGCCTGTGCGTTCCCCGGCCCCACCTGCACAAAACCTTATTATCACCGTTCTCGTATTACAAGGGGCTGGGGTTTGTTTACTTCAGGTGGGACTACATAACCACATCTCACTCGGATCGTTTGTGGACGATAAAACAGTACTGTGTGAGTAGTATTTCAGAGTGGATCTGAACCATGGGGAAGGAAACTCAACTAGAAACAAACAAAAGTAGCTTTCCTGTGGTGGTATCTTCCAAGATGACAGATACATCTCCCTTCTTGCGTAGGACGCTAAAAGTGGCAATTACAGGAGAAGGACAGATCGCGTGGAAGATGACCCTGTCGATGAGCAGTGTCGAGGCGCACTATCGCTCAAAGTCAGAGCAGATTCAGCCAAAACTCGGATACTCAGCACGTGCAACGGACTTACTCCCTCTTACACAAAAGAGCTATAGGTTTAAGCTCAGTTAGACAGAAGGCAGATTCTAGTTCAGTCTCGACTGCATTTATAAGCAGCAGCCGAAATGTGCTATCTGGCCTAAAACATCTGCTGCTTCGAATGTGGTCGAGTAGATGAGGGCCTAGCTGTAGGAGGGAAGCATGCATGCATTCGAGGGAATTCGCAGAAAGAGTGGCAACTGTAGGCCTCCTTCTCCCCTCGCATCCAACCAGAGTACTTCAAAGTAAGAATCCCTGCAAGGGAAGTTGGGCTGGCAGAGTAGTCCCGCCTTTACAGTACAGTCTTTAGCCAAGATGCAAGCCAGTTTTGCGCGGTGACTTTGCTGTAACTACGGGACAGAGCTTACGCGAGCGATCGGCCGCGACAAGGTCAAGGTTATTCAGCAACAAACAGGCAAGCGACACAAGTGAACTAGTTGGAACAGTCACCTCTCACCGCTCTCATGATGGCAAAAAGGGTGTTTCCAAAACGTCATTACAAATGTAATCTGGTTCATGAACTAGCCGGCTTCCATCTCCGTTTTCTTTGTTGCGCCTGGTATATGGCCACATGCAACAGGAGAAACATAGTTTCGCCTTTGGGGAAGCAAGCGTCCTCATGACAAGATGGCTAGGCTGGTGCTCGAAAGCTGGTCCTCAGTTGGCACAATCAACAGGGCTATTGGTCTTCATCCGGCCTACCAGGCGCTGCGTACAAGACTCCAGTCAGTCCAGACGGGGCCGACAGTACAGGCGAGCGAGTCGCGGCTCCTCCAACAGTTGTCACCTTCACAGCAGGGGGAAGGAGCCAGCCGGAGGTCACACGAAGAACGCGAGACATCGCCCCACCGGCGCGCCCAGACAGCCGAGCGTGATTCGCACATGCAACGGCAACTGATCAGTCCATCCGATTATGAGGTGAGGGCCCATGGGCACACAGGATTGGCAGCGATTACGACAGCCGGTCAGGGGGCAGAGGTCACAGGAGCGCGTCATTGGCCGCCCGCGGGGGAACCAAAGCCAATCCCCAGCCAGAAGGCAGGTCAGAGTTCGTGCGTCAGGCATGCTTATAACACAAGACAGGCGGCGAGGCAGAACAACTTCGAGCAAGCAGGAACAGACACCCCACCACTCTGATGATGGAAACGAGGAAGTTTCCGAAACGTCAGCACCAATACACTGTGGTCCATGCAATCGCCCCTTTTTCTTCTTCGTCTTCTTTTGGGGATGATGAAAGGGATAATTTATCAGGACCTCGAATCTTTACTCATGTTGATACATGTACATATATATTTTTATATATCTATACAGTAGATGGGCTATCTCATGAAATGTTGAGCGGAATTCCGAACTGTGTCTTCGCCTAGGGAGGATTACATGGGTGGGTTTGTAATACGGATTATCGTGATGCATAATCCTAAGATGTTTCAATCACGCAAGGATGATATCGTTCCTTTCTCTTGTTATGCGATTTGCGAACATGAGGGGGCTCGTGATGATTATTACTTAGTTCACAAATACATTACCTCGGAAACAGTGTAAGAAGGGACTTCATCGAAGAGAAACACAAAAACGACTGATAACGAAGACTAGTTGTCAGACGCACGTTTAGCTCGCCTAGATGGTCCACCAATCAGCGACTGAAGTCTGTGCTCGCCATCGGCCGGCGTGTATGACTGAGAAATTGAACGTGGCGGCAGAGTGGTGGGACAGTCACCTCTCACCACTCTCATGATGGCAAAAGGAGCGTTTCCAAAACGTCATTACAAATATAATCTGGTTCATGAACTGGCCGGCTTTCATCTTTGTATTCTTCGGTGCGCGGGGGAGCGTTAGCGAGCAAAAAGTGAGAAGGGAAAATCATGGAGCTAGAAGCCACCATGGCAATATTAGGCTTACCACGCGTTCCAACTTTTTACAAAGATCTGGTTTCACCCGTAGTATATAAACCGCCTCTAGGTAATACAATGCCCGAGTTGTTCATGCCCGAGCAAGTACACGGAAGTTTTGGAGTCGACGGAGTGACCACTATCAAGTAGAGCGAACGCAAAGGCAGTTGGCAGCCAGGTCTATTGAGCACCTGCCCAGATGGCTCCTAAAGCAAGCAAATAAAATCTCGCGTTCCTCCATTACGAAACACCTGTTTGGAAGTGGTCACTCCGTCGGCCCATAAAACTTCCTTCCGAGTACTTCTTCGGGCACGAACAACTCGGACATTGCGTTACCTAGATGCGGT